TTTAGCCTATTTCTGACGTCATACTATACTATGACTCATTTTAGCCTATTTCTGACATCATACTATACTATGACTCATTTTAGCCTATTTCTGACATCATACTATACTATGACTCTTTTTAGCCTATTTCTGACATCATACTATACTATGACTCGTTTTAGCCTATTTCTGACGTCATACTATACTATGACTCATTTTAGCCTATTTCTGACGTCATACTATACTATGACTCATTTTAGCCTATTTCTGACGTCATACTATACTATGACTCATTTTAGCCTATTTCTGACATCATACTATACTATGACTCATTTTAGCCTATTTCTGACGTCATACTATACTATGACTCATTTTAGCCTATTTCTGATGTCATACTATACTATGACTCATTTTATCCTATTTCTGACATCATACTATACTATGACTCATTTTAGCCTATTTCTGACGTCATACTATACTATGACTCATTTTAGCCTATTTCTGACATCATACTATACTATGACTCATTTTAGCCTATTTCTGACGTCATACTATACTATGACTCATTTTAGCCTATTTCTGACGTCATACTATACTATGACTCATTTTATCCTATTTCTGACATCATACTATACTATGACTCATTTTAGCCTATTTCTGACATCATACTATACTATGACTCTTTTAGCCTATTTCTGACGTCATACTATACTATGACTCATTTTAGCCTATTTCTGACGTCATACTATACTATGACTCATTTTAGCCTATTTCTGACGTCATACTATACTATGACTCTTTTTAGCCTATTTCTGACATCATACTATACTATGACTCATTTTAGCCTATTTCTGACGTCATACTATACTATGACTCATTTTAGCCTATTTCTGACGTCATACTATACTATGACTCATTTTAGCCTATTTCTGACGTCATACTATACTATGACTCTTTTTAGCCTATTTCTGACATCATACTATACTATGACTCATTTTAGCCTATTTCTGACGTCATACTATACTATGACTCATTTTAGCCTATTTCTGACATCATACTATACTATGACTCATTTTAGCCTATTTCTGACGTCATACTATACTATGACTCTTTTAGCCTATTTCTGACGTCATACTATACTATGACTCATTTTAGCCTATTTCTGACGTCATACTATACTATGACTCATTTTAGCCTATTTCTGACGTCATACTATACTATGACTCATTTTAGCCTATTTCTGACGTCATACTATACTATGACTCATTTTAGCCTATTTCTGACGTCATACTATACTATGACTCATTTTAGCCTATTTCTGACATCATACTATACTATGACTCATTTTAGCCTATTTCTGACATCATACTATACTATGACTCTTTTTAGCCTATTTCTGACATCATACTATACTATGACTCATTTTAGCCTATTTCTGACATCATACTATACTATGACTCATTTTAGCCTATTTCTGATGTCATACTATACTATGACTCATTTTAGCCTATTTCTGACATCATACTATACTATGACTCATTTTAGCCTATTTCTGACATCATACTATACTATGACTCATTTTAGCCTATTTCTGACATCATACTATACTATGACTCATTTTAGCCTATTTCTGACATCATACTATACTATGACTCATTTTAGCCTATTTCTGACATCATACTATACTATGACTCTTTTTAGCCTATTTCTGACGTCATACTATACTATGACTCATTTTAGCCTATTTCTGACGTCATACTATACTATGACTCATTTTAGCCTATTTCTGACATCATACTATACTATGACTCGTTTTAGCCTATTTCTGACGTCATACTATACTATGACTCATTTTAGCCTATTTCTGACATCATACTATACTATGACTCTTTTTAGCCTATTTCTGACGTCATACTATACTATGACTCGTTTTAGCCTATTTCTGATGTCATACTATACTATGACTCATTTTAGCCTATTTCTGACATCATACTATACTATGACTCATTTTAGCCTATTTCTGACATCATACTATACTATGACTCATTTTAGCCTATTTCTGACATCATACTATACTATGACTCATTTTAGCCTATTTCTGACGTCATACTATACTATGACTCATTTTAGCCTATTTCTGACATCATACTATACTATGACTCATTTTAGCCTATTTCTGACGTCATACTATACTATGACTCATTTTAGCCTATTTCTGACGTCATACTATACTATGACTCTTTTTAGCCTATTTCTGACATCATACTATACTATGACTCATTTTAGCCTATTTCTGACGTCATACTATACTATGACTCTTTTTAGCCTATTTCTGACATCATACTATACTATGACTCTTTTTAGCCTATTTCTGACATCATACTATACTATGACTCATTTTAGCCTATTTCTGACGTCATACTATACTATGACTCTTTTTAGCCTATTTCTGACATCATACTATACTATGACTCATTTTAGCCTATTTCTGACATCATACTATACTATGACTCTTTTTAGCCTATTTCTGACATCATACTATACTATGACTCATTTTAGCCTATTTCTGACATCATACTATACTATGACTCTTTTTATCCTATTTCTGACATCATACTATACTATGACTCATTTTATCCTATTTCTGACATCATACTATACTATGACTCATTTTAGCCTATTTCTGACGTCATACTATACTATGACTCATTTTAGCCTATTTCTGATGTCATACTATACTATGACTCTTTTTAGCCTATTTCTGACGTCATACTATACTATGACTCATTTTAGCCTATTTCTGACGTCATACTATACTATGACTCATTTTAGCCTATTTCTGACGTCATACTATACTATGACTCATTTTATCCTATTTCTGACGTCATACTATACTATGACTCATTTTAGCCTATTTCTGACATCATACTATACTATGACTCATTTTATCCTATTTCTGACATCATACTATACTATGACTCATTTTATCCTATTTCTGACATCATACTATACTATGACTCATTTTAGCCTATTTCTGACATCATACTATACTATGACTCATTTTAGCCTATTTCTGACATCATACTATACTATGACTCATTTTAGCCTATTTCTGACGTCATACTATACTATGACTCATTTTAGCCTATTTCTGACGTCATACTATACTATGACTCATTTTAGCCTATTTCTGACATCATACTATACTATGACTCATTTTATCCTATTTCTGACATCATACTATACTATGACTCATTTTAGCCTATTTCTGACGTCATACTATACTATGACTCATTTTAGCCTATTTCTGACATCATACTATACTATGACTCATTTTAGCCTATTTCTGACGTCATACTATACTATGACTCATTTTAGCCTATTTCTGACGTCATACTATACTATGACTCATTTTAGCCTATTTCTGACGTCATACTATACTATGACTCATTTTAGCCTATTTCTGATGTCATACTATACTATGACTCTTTTTAGCCTATTTCTGACGTCATACTATACTATGACTCATTTTAGCCTATTTCTGACATCATACTATACTATGACTTATTTTAGCCTATTTCTGATGTCATACTATGGATTGCGTGAGCTGATACTAGAGCGTCACTCAGGGACCTGGAAGATGGAAGTCAAGTTTGAATAACACAGGTTGAGACGATAGTGGAGAGGAAAAACTCCCCGTTGAGAAGAAACCTCTGGCAGAACCAGGCTCAACATGGCGGTCTTCTGCCGGATTGCTTAAGATGAGACAGGGAATGCAGTAAGAGTCCGGGAGGAATGACGCTCTGATGCAGCTTTAGCTACGATGGTGGAGGAGGGACTGGAGGTGGGTTGAAACGGTGTCATCTGAATGAAGTCACACAGCACAACCACCGCCTGTGCACAGGAGCAGACAGGTGCATATCAGAGGCCTTTTAAGATGAGCTTTGGATACCGATTGGCTTTCGTGGAGGTGTGGTTCAAAGCTTATTGGTTGTGTCGCAGGTGGATGTTTGAAGACAAGGAGTTTCTTCAGTTGAATTCCCGCCTAGGCTCGATTAATACTAATGCTAGTGACAGCAATGCTTGATTAATTTGATTAAAAATTGATAATATTGAGAACTATTGATTAATAAGTTCTTACCTTGATGCTGTGTCCCTGTTTGCTTTGTTAGTAATAGTAATTTTTCCCCCCATTAATTTTCTGATAAGGATTGGAGGATCAGCTAACAGTTGCTGTGTATGGGTTGATTTCATTAATATTAGTTGGTCTTTGACCACGCCGACCTGCTGCTTTACGCTGAGCCTTTACAGGATGTTCAGACTCTATTAAAGGTATAGCGGAGGATTTTTGTGAATTTTTTAAAAGACTTCCACCCCTCTCCACTTTAAAAAAGATGCACATGCACAACCATGTACCCACTCCTGAGAAGGAAAGCCTATGAATCGCCTGCAAGAGCGTGCACAAGCCCATTTCTCCTTGTGCACTCTTTAAAAGTTGCTGTTCTCATTGCTGATACCAGATTACTGTGCCTGAATGTCAGCTCTAACCCCTAAATCCCTCACTCACTATATAGAGTGGGGACTATATCGTGGACTTTATAGTGAACTCAGTTATCTTACCGTTTGGACAGATGATCACTGATGTTTGCTCCTTGTTGGTCCCATAACACCTCCTCCATATATCACCATAATGATTGACAATTAGGAGAACCACTTATTTTGATGATCCACCCGGAAGTTAAAGATCATGCTCTATACTTTTAACTGAAAGGAAACTGAAACTATAATTTTCAACATCAGCGACCTTTATCCTGTCAGTTTGACATCTGCTTGACATGATGAGTGAACTCCACAATGCTGTTCATTTGCACCAACCCTTTTTAATAAGCGGTTGGATTAGACAGCGCGTCTAATGAATCTTGGGACAATAGGATCCACTGATTTTCTATTACTCTACTGCACCTCCTAGTAAAATACTAGCCAAGTAGAAAAACAAAAAACAAAAAAAACAAACAAATTAATCTGATTAGCAGAGTTGGACCACTGTTGTTTCAAATCCAGCTGTGTGTTTTTATTGATTTGAGCTGAAACAGGCTGAAAAATAAAACAGAAATCAAAATCTACATGAGACAGGAACAGAAAATGGTCTGTGACTGTTGGCTTGCTTTTTTTTTGTGGATTCATTGTGCTGTAGCAGAGGTGCTGGGGCTCAAGGGCTTCTCTTTTGGTTGTTTAAGGCAAAGAGGGGTCAGAGGGAGGTTTAAGAGACAATCTGAGTTACATAGGGAAGCATTGGCTTCCAGCTTTCGCATGCATCAATACAGGAAGGGTTCATAGGATCCATGAGGTTAAGGACAACAAGGCAGAGAAGTGGAAGGAAAAGTTTAACAACTATTTTTTTTTTTTTAGCCGTCTGACATGAGCACTAAAGCCGTAACGTATGGGCATCACAGTTTTACAATCCTGTCCTTTTTGCCCGCATGTTTATTTACGTCTTAGTTGACGAGGAAACATTTTCAGGGATGGCGGTAAATAACCAGAAGAATTAAATAAATATAGAAAATCCAGTAATCATTATTATACTAAAACATTCCAAATACACAATAAGAAAAAAAGATCTATGAAATTATGCCTTTTTGGTTGAAGTCCCCACAAGATTTCAGCAGTTCATTATCATCCAACACATTTTTTTCTGCTTCCCTTTTGGATTCTTCTTCTTTAATCTGCTCTTTAGGAGTCTTTTTCCAGGCTTTGCTTAAAGAGCAGCATGTCGCCACTGCTGCTACTAAATATTATACCTGTAATACATACTGTATTTACACATGAACATCAAGAATATAATGTGGGTCGTCATATAATGATAAGTAGAAAAAGAGGTCTGTTTTTTGTCCTTCAGTTCCAGTCTTGGTGTGCCTCCTCCTCGGAGGGGAGCAGAGTGAACGTGAGGCGGTCTCCTCTGCTTGTGTCTGTCTTGGCTGTTCAGCAGCAGATGGACGGACCGGCAGCTGTTAGGATCGGCTCCTGCGTTTTATACATTTGTCTCCAGGCCGTTCATGTCCACAGAACAGTGGTCCTTGTCTCTGTGCTCTCTCTTGTGGTGGGGGTTGTGGCCGTGCTTCTTCTTCTCCACCGGCCGGATGCCTTCCTCGAGCTGGATCAGGCGAGCGACGTCCGGAGAGAGGTGGTCCTGCCTGCTGCCCGGTGGGGGCTGGTAGCAGCCGTTCTTCTGGTTCTGGTACGTCATCATCTGCTGGATGCTTATCATAGGTTTGGTCTCACATATAAGAGGAACCTAAAGGAGACATGGGTAAAAATCTTCAAAAAACCTCCTGTTAATTAATTAATGTTACATTTTTTCCCCCCAGCTTTTATTTTCATTCAGGGACGGAGCTAGATGGGGGGCCAGGGGTGGCCATAGCCACTTTTAGCCAATCATTGGCCACCTCTGTGGCCACCCCTACCATTGTTTCTCTCTAATACAGATGGTGGCAACAGTAATACTCAAGTGGAATATTCAAAACATTTAAAGTTTTCATATATTAACAATTACTTGACAACAAAAACACTGTGGTTAATTATGCACATCAATATACTAACATTAAAGATAATAAGTACAGAATTCAATTCCCGTCCCTAATCAGCTCTGACCGGAGTCACCTGTTTACAGCAGTATATAAACCCCATCAGATCAGTCCTCTGTGCCAGATTATCTCGTGCCAACCTGCTAAGAATAGTCCAGCATCTAAAGAATATCTGATTGTCTACGCGTTTCTGACCCGATCTGCCTCTTGATATCGAGCCTGCCTGACCCCTGTCTGATTCTGCCTGCCTGATTATCCTCTCTGCTCTGCCTCTGGATCCCCGGATCTCTGAGTCGTTCCGATCAGACTGCCTGCTCCCCTCTCTCTGGATCACAAACTCTGAGAAACTCCGCATAACTGCCTGCCTTTCCCCTTCTGGATCACAAACTGGTAAACCTCTCACAATCTGCCCGCCTCAGTCCCGCGCTCAGAGTAACCTGTTTAATAAACCGATCAAACGTCACTAACCTGTCTTGGTTTATTTGGATCCAGTCTCTGTCTCATTACAATGTTTGCCCAAAACTCAAACCTGAAAGAATTTTATCCACTATACCTTCTATCTAGATAGCATGGATGTTTGAATATATTCTTCTATTTGTTAGCAAAGGCTGTGGGAAAGTATAGTTTGTCTTTATCAAGAAAATATGGATGTTTTCCTTGTTAATTTTCCTGTTGGAACAGCGTAGACTGACCCTGAGGTTTTGGTCTTGATTGATTTTGGCCTTTTCTACTTTCGGGTTAGCCTCGTGAGACCATCCTGATCTTGCGAGCTTTCAAGGTTTCACTCACTAATCAGTCTGGAGACTCTCCGTTGAAGAAAATTTGGAGCCGTTCACCAAACGAACGTCCAATCAGCGTTGGCTTTGAGGCGGGTTGAGGTGTGACGCAACGAGAAGCGCGACAGTTCAGTCTGAAGAACATGGCGGCTTCAGCCGATGAAACTAGCAAAAGTAAAACCCATTCTTTCCAGACAGCATTTCGAAACAGTGATACATGCATTTGTGACGACACGGCTGGATTACTGTAACTCACTTTATACAGGGGTCAGCGACTTGTATATTTCTCATCTTCAGAGGGTTCAAAATGCTGCTGCACGTCTTTTAACAGGTACACGAAAATTCGACCACATTTCCCCTGTTTTAGCTTCCTTACACTGGCTGCCAGTACATTTTAGGATTAATTTTAAAATTCTTTTATTTGTTTTTAAAACTCTTAATGGCCTTGCTCCTTCTTATCTGTCTGAGCTGTTGCATTCTTATACACCCTCCCGTTCCCTCAGGTCAGCTGATCAGTTGCTTCTGAGGGTCCCAAAGACGAAATGCAAGCTCAGAGGAGACCGTGCTTTTTCTGTGGCAGCTCCTAAGCTGTGGAACGATCTGCCTCTGAGCATAAGACAGGCCTCTTCTCTTACTGCTTTTAAGTCCCTTCTTAAGACTCATCTTTTTTCCTTGGCTTTTGACACAATTTGAGACGTTTTACTTTGTTTTATTCTTTTTGTATACTAATATGTATTTTACACTCGTTTTTTCTCTATTTTATAATTTTATTGTATTTTATGATTGTGTACAGCACTTTGGTCCTGTTCGGTGTATAAAGTGCTTCATAAATAAAGTTGGTATGGTATGGTATGGTAACTAGCGTTAGCGTGGCTATCGAGCAAGTTTTATCGGAATTACAGAGTATTTCTTCACTGAAAGAAGAGCAAAACACTGCTCTGGAGGCTTTTCTCAGAGGAAAAGATGTTTTTGCTCTTCTCCCGACTGGTTTCGGCAAGAGTTTGATCTATCAATTGGCTCCTCTTCGTCGTCGCTCTGTTAGTACGTCATATGCTTCGTTGATCTGATTGGTTTATTTTGCCCGTCTATCACCAACATAGGCCAATCAGCTAACCAGTATTTTCGCCCCTTCCCAAAATTTCGGCCACCCCTTTGTCTACATTGGTTATTGCCTGGCCACCCTTATAAAAATGTTCTGGCTACGCCTCTGTTATCATTACACTGTCACAAGTACAGCGTATCAAAATTCACTCTCTGCATTTAACCCATCCCCTTGGTGGGCAGTGGGAGCAGTTTGGGGGTTAAGGGTCTTGTTCAGAGACCCAGAGTGTCATTCCGTGGGAGTGGGACTTGAACTCAGAACCTCCTTATTCCAATATTCAATGCCCTAACCACTAGGCCACTAATCCTGCTTATCTGTGTAAACAAATTAAAAGATTGTTATGTTAAATCATTGGTGCATTAACAGGTTAAAGTCTTGCTCAACATTTTGTAAAACTATCATCCAGTTCGAGTAAAAAAGAAGCTGCACTTTTACATTAAGTATCAGGTTTTAAAAATTAGATTATTAGAAAATGTTTTTTTTTTTTTTGCATAACTTACTGAGGAAAAATGTAAGATTTCCAAATGGTTTGTGAAAGAAAATGGTGCATTTTTTTTAATCAAAAATACTTTGAATTACTGCCAGTGGATGTGAAGCCCTTTAAGGGTTTGTTCATGCAGAGATTCCCCTGGTTTTTACTCGATGCTGTATGGAGGCGCTAACAGCATGCCGCAAGTGATTAAAGTGATGTTGTTTCGTCTTTAATGCTTGCAACTGCTTCTCCTCTTTTTATCAACTTTCTGTTTTTATACATCCATCCAGAGGCGGCAAACTTCTGTGACTATTTATCCATCCATGTACCACATTTCTTTCTCTTTAACTAAGAATAAAACAGATGTCTACCAACTGAGTTGCATCAATCCAGCTTTTCTTGCACTCACCTGCTCTCCTTCTTTGACAAAATCCTTTCTGCAGATATGAGCCATGATGCCTGTAGCCAGAGCGTCGCCCATCACATTGACCATGGTCCTGAATCGATCCCTGAATAACAGTTAGAGGAGATTCCTAGTTAGAGCTAAAAAAGAAAAAGCTACAATAGGAGGAAATAATTGATAAAAACCTGTTTCATTAGCTCAGAGAGTTTTAGCCTGAAATAAATTACAAACAGCTCCATAATTACATCTAAATATGACCTTTTTGGTACCTGTGTAAAAGGAAGACATAAAATGATTACCATGATTTACTTTGTCTTATTTATTTATGATAAAACATAAAAAAACCTACTGTTTGGAGCTTTGGCCTTAAATTTTCCTAGATAAATATTGCAAAAACTCCATAAAACTAGTTTTACCTAGGAGACATTTTAATTATATTCATCAGCATTTTGTTACTAGAGATAATATAGAAAAAATTTGGACTGAATGGGTTAAAGCATATTGCATCCCCCACTGTTTAAGTCGGTTATTGTGTCAGATGGAGCTGTCATTTAAGCACCATTTAGCCAAATGTGTTTTCCCCTCATTAAAAGGAGTGTAATCAAATAGAAGTACTAATATCTATATCATTAGCTGTGTCCAGCGCATTTCATTAACCTAAAACCTGGGATCAACAACATTTGCTCGCAGCCCCAGCTCAAATTGTGCGAATTAATCGCAGAGTTCAAATGTTCACAGCTTGCGATGTACAGTGGGTATGGAAAGTATTTAGACCCCATTAAAATTGTCACTCTTTATTGATTTTAGCCAATGGCTGCAATGAAACAAAGTTCCTTTTATTTTTTAATGTACACTCAGCACCCGATCTTGACAGAAAAAAAAAAGAAATGTAGACATTATTGCCAACTTATTAGAAAAAGAAAAACTGAAATATCAAATGGTCATAAGTATTCAGACCCTGATTATTTAAGTCGGGGTCTTGAACAATCACGACGTGCAACACAAGAAAAGTAGGCTGCTACAGTTGCATGCGTAACGTGAAAATCTCAGAGGAAAGAGTTCTCAGTCTGGTCGTGTGACTCACGAGCCACAACCATAGAAAAGGTTTCAATTTAATTCAGTTTATTTATATAGCACCAATTCACAACACATGTCATCTCAAGGCGCTTTACAATTCACCAGATGGTACAGTGAACTGATTCAAAGTTTTCTATCGAAGGAAAACCAGTTGATTGCATCGACTCATTGACTCGGATGCAATCCCTCACTCTAAGCATGCTTGTAGTGACAGTGGAGAGGAAAAACTCCCTTTTAACAGGAAGAAACCTCCAGCAGAACCAGGCTCAGTGTGAACCTGGTTGATGCCTGCCGAGGCCGACTGAGGTTCAAGGAGACAGAAGCAGAGATACGGGTTTGATTTTCTTGTCATCCCATTTCTGTTGTGAAGTGTGAAGGTGTGCAGAAACCTTGTTTTTTTCAATTTTTTTATCCATACTTCAACAATGTTCATACTGTGACCTTATCAACATATCAAAACGGTTACATACAGTAATGCAGAAAGCCAGACAGGTTTCTAAGGAATGCCCTGATTCCTGACTTCCATTCCTCTTTTTGAAAGTAGAAAAAGGAAAAAAAGGTTTTACTCACAGGGCCCAATCGACGGCAATGATGAGAGTGATATCATCAGTCGGTAGACCCACAGAGGTCAAAACGATCACCATGGTAACAAGTCCAGCCTGAGGGATTCCTGCTGCACCGATACTGGCGGCCGTGGCAGTGATGCTGAGATGGAAATCAGAAAAAAAAAATCCATCATCAAAAACAAATGTATGAGAGATTGATTTACAATTGTTCTTCTAAACATGTTGGAATGTAAAAAAGTGGAATGGGGAAGCAGTGTCTGAAATGTTCTCTCTATTATAGGGTTCCCTGCTTCTCCAATTTATTTCCCAGTCAGATTTTTCTTTCTTTTAAATTAGTATTTTAGTCCAACATCACAGCTTCACATCTTGTATTTTTCCTGCAATGTGACATCATGCGATTTCCATGTATTTTTGTTTGTACTGTATCATTTGTCTCATATTTAAAGGTATACTATTGATTTCTGGACTTTTTCAAGGTTGTTCAGTAGTGGATCAGTAAGCTGTAGTTTGATATTTGTAATGTCTGTAACATTTTAATAATACCATGACTTGAAAAACTGTAGAAAAAGATCAAGTCTTTGGCTATGCCCTTCCAGGAAGTTTTACCTTCCAGTTTCCACCAATCATTATTCAATCAGAACCTTAGAGCTTAAAGGTACAGTGGAGGATTTTAAGGAATTTTTCAAAAGACCCACCCTCTCCACTTTTAAAACAAAAATGCACATGCACAACCCTGTACCCGCTCCTGAGAGGGAACGCCTATTAAATGCATGCAAGAGCATACACAAACACATTTCTCCTCTTGCACACTAAAATTTTCTGTTTGCATCACTCATACAAGCTTACTTTCCAAAAGAAGATTTGCAATTTTTCCACTACGTCAGACTCACTACCATGTTATGCTGAGAATTACCTCCCCTCTAGCACACTGATGAGAAAACGGATTAAAATGTGAATGGAAGGGAACTTTTAAACATTCTTAATGTTTTGATATTTCTTATGCATGGACGGCCCTAAAATTGAGTTTTGGTGGACAGATAGATGCAGAAAACTCCTCCCTTGTCGCAGGAGTGTGCACCGCCCTAAACTCTCGCACATTGATGAGAAAACACATTGAAATTTGAATGGAAAAGGGAAGTTTTAAACATATTCTTAATGTTTTGTCAGAAATGATCTAGAATGGCGTTGATAGCAAATGCAGGAAATATCTAGCCTGGGTGCCATTCCGAACTTAGTCCCGCCCACAACGTTGGAGGTCGGGAAGTTCGGTCTGGCATTGCTCAACAGTAGCGCGAGTATGCTCGCACAATATCTGGCGGGCCAATCAAATTGTCAGGGTGGGCTTTATACGATGATGGACAGATGAGCAACAGTAACGTAATCAACCACGTCATCAAAGCGCGCTTAGGTGACAACAACAATGGCTGCCGCGGAAGAGTTCAGGTGTGTAAATTCTGCTATAGGTCTGTTCTAGAAGATATCGACAGCAAATTAATTTTAAAAGAGGAACAGAGAAACGCGATCAAGGCTCATCTTCTTATTCAAGGCGTGCAACTGCACGCTCTGATTTTTGTTGACAACAACTATGCGTCGCTTAACATACGTCACGCACTCCGTTGCTCTTATTGGTTGTAGGTCTATCCAATTGAGTGTAAAGGCATTTTTTTTCCTGGTTCGTTCGAAACACGCCCCATAATCACAGCTCTATGGAGCAGTATCAGACTCATATTCTGACTAGAATTGAGTAGGACTACATCAGGCTAGGAAATATCTCCATCCAAGTAAAAATCGTATTCATTCGAATTTATCTGTCCACCGAAACTCTCGGTTTTCGAGCATCCATGCATAAGAAATATGAAAACATTACGAAATGTTTAAAATGTCTTTTTCGTTCATATTTCAATCCGTTTTCTCATCAGTGCAGGGGAAGTAATTCTCGGCAGCCAAGTATTTGCTGGCACATCACCTGTTAGGTGCACTTAGGACAACCTTACGTAAACATAACACCAGAATGATTGACAGTTAGGAAGACCACTTATTTTGATGATCCATCAAGAAGAAGAACATCCTTCACTATACCTTTAACCTTTGCCAAATCTATGACAATTCTGAATTTCTGACGTTATCTCAGTTATCATGCAGTCTGAGGCCCAATTTTTACTTTTGCTGTATTAAAAAAAGAGAAATTTTTCATTTTATTTTAGAGTCTTGTGTTGATGAACATTGACTTTGTTGTCCTAAAAGCTACAAATAATTTGGCTGCATGCTTCGGGTTATTGAGGACAATCCTCCAAGCATTAAGGTCTTTGTCCCCGAGAGCATTTGCTGTAATCTGTTTTTTTATGCTGCTTTTAAAACAGCTTCCTCTTCTCTAAGATGCCATGTTGGTGCAGAACTCATTTCACTGTTCAAACACAGGTCCTCTAGGTAAAGAAAATCTCTGGGACATGGCAGTTGTATGAGGGTTCATGCATCACTAGTCATCTGGAATTTGAACTAATTAAATGACAAGCCTTCTGGTAATCTGGTGTTCTCTTCGTAATATTTTGGCTGTTGTTGATTTTTCCCCATACCGCCACACATGTTTGAGTTATGAACTTAAATACGTAAGAAAACTCTGGGTTAACCTGTCAGAAGCTTTCAAAGCTTTTATGTCTGGGTTTTACCAACTAGCTTAAAGCAGGGATATTCAGTGTTTTTTTTTTTAAATCAGAAAATCTTTATTGATAAGCAGATAGAACAAGAACCCCCTTCCTTTGTTTGTCCAAGGAGTTTAGGTGTTGCAGACAGCATCAGCTGTTACATTAAGAGGGTTTTAAAACTAATTTCCACCTGAAAATAAACAAATCAAATAACCATTAGGTGTTGATGCAAGCTATTTATTCTTCTAAAGGTAATGCATAACGTTTCACCACCCTCCTGCAGTACCTTCACAACCCGTTAGGGGGCCCTACGTTGAATAGCTCTGGTCTGAAGGCAAAATCTGGCCTTTATTGACACACACAAAAATTCTTGCATTTAGCAAACTCAATCATTTTCATAATAGTAAAATCAGAACAAAAAACCTTCTGTCTGATTTAATCGCAACCCCCCACCCCCCCAAAATAACACTTTATATAAATGTCTGGTTTCAACCACAGTTGCTGCTCTTTGTTCCAAAGGGTCAATTCAGATTTCTCCCTGTAAACTGAGCTTGGGGTTGGCTTAGCATACAGATGGAGGAGCTTTCATGGTCAGGAGCCAAACAGCACAGCGACAGAGAGGAAAATGATTATAATTCTGTCGTGACGTGAGATGAGAAATACAGGTCATGTGGGTTTTACTGCGGAGGGATTATAATGAGGGACTGTGTGCAGACTTCAGCCATGAAGACAGGTGTGCTCTAATGATATTACAATCAAACATCTCATTAAACCAGGTGAGGATCAGGACGTTTATCTTGACATGAGGGGTATGATATGATAGAGAGCGGCTGATTTCTGTGTTTGCACTGAGCTTGAGGAGTCTGATTCATCTGAAATCAGATCAGGCTAAGAGGCTCATACCAGCTATAATCTATGTGACATTTACATATACCAGAATCTAGTCAATCCCATAATAGTATTAATAACTCAGAATTTAATGTGTGATGCTAAATTTAGTCAAATACGACACTCAAAACAACCTCTTCAGGCGTTATTTTCTCTAATGAATACAAAAAATGTTTGGAATGGATCTAATTTTCTTTCGTTAAAAATAAACTGATGTACGGCTGCATTTTTTTCTGGAAAATATATACATGTAGCTTCTATGTGTAATAAGCAACTTTACTCCTCCGTTACCTAAAAACATTTTAAATAGAAATTTGTTTCTCTACCATTTAACGGGATAAACTTGGATAAATTTGTCCAGATTTTTGCCTCAAATCAGAATAAAAAGTGTCCAGAGGCATTTCTCTTCAGGGATTTAGTGCCCTACATCCATTAAGCCTCAGAGTCGTAGTTTAATGAAGCAATGCAACAGCCTGAGCAGTGAAATCATCCTTTATTCTCGGTCAAGAGGAAAAAAATTCAACATGGGATTCCACCAAGAGGTAAATATCAAGCGCCTTAAACTCCCTGCTCTCATTTGCAAGCAGATTTTAAAGTACAGCTAGGAGCCTATAAGGAGCAAGCTCATTTTAGATCCACAAAATACATCACAAAGCTTCATTACCACGGCGAGTCTGAAATCTTGCATTACTTAACCTGACTACTTCTCTAAAAGCACACAGGATAACAACTGAATTTAGTATTTTTCTATTTAAACCAAAAGAACCTTCTGTAAGTCAAATATTTGCTGAAGATGCTCAAATAGATTTCATCCAGCTGAGCTAATATCCCTTTTCAAACCTTTTCCACAAGCTGACATTTATTCACACGACCTTCACTGAAAAGTCAGAGTCGTTTCATCATCATCCTGCACTTTACCTGATGGTAATGATCTGCCCAAAGTCGAGCTCATAATTATTCACTTGGGCGATAAAGATGGCTGCCACTGCCTCGTAGAGAGCGGTGCCGTCCATATTGATGGTGGCTCCCACCGGCAGCACGAAGCGGATGATTCGCCTGTCGATGTGGTTATTCTCTAGGAGGCACTTGAAGGTGATAGGCAGCGTGGCAGAGCTTGAGAAAACCAAAAAAGAAAAAAGAAAAGAAGAAAATCTTACTCATAATTTAATGTTGAAAACAGATCAGTTTCATTGTTTTATAGGGAAAAGAAGGGCACATCTTATTAAAGTTCAGACTAAAGCCCAAAATATTGTAAAGGGAATTTATCAGGATACATCGTCAATTTAAAGGAGCTCAGAAGGAGCTAAATTATTGTTAAGATAATGATTTTAATTATTGTAAACAGTAATTTACCTTCTTCATTCATTAAAAGGCCACAACTCAAATAGATTGAAATAAAATACATATTGTGGTTAAATAAGCTGCTTAAACATCTTGTCATCTTTTGTCACAATCTCTTTTATTAAGATGTGATGTCATAATGCAACCCAACACAAAGTAGTGAATATTTGACAAGGAAGAAAGTTGACATGCATTTATGAAAAAGTCTGAGATATTAATCCAAAAATTGAGAAATGTAGCAGGTGTTCTTGGAGGAAATGCTCCGTTCCTCTACTCATCAAATCTGAACAACATCGCTGTTCCTTCAGTATGGAGTAAATTTTGTTCCGTTATTGTTTCAAGGAAATTTGAAAACAATGAAATCCAGAATGACACTTTAGAAAACATTCTTAATAAAAAAAAAAAAGGATTTTGAAAGTAATATTGTTTTTTCTTTGATTTTAAATTCTGAAGTCATGTCTAATCAAATTTTCCAGTTTTGCTAATTTTGTTAAAAAAAAAAACACTTTTCTACATATTTTACATTTTCAAATTATAGTTTTTCAAAGGTCATTTTTTCCTAAGTTTTACAACTTGCATTATTTTCAAATTGCTTTTTACAGATCAGACTTATGGAGTGAAATTTATCCCATATTTGTTGCTAGAAAAGACCATGGCTGTGTCGGAAGTCCTAATCACTATATAGTGGTGTCCAAATATCTAGTGGAACAAGTAGTGGACTCAAAATTTCCCACAATGCACTTTGAAAAGTAGGGGTCATGCATGGTCACTAGAGGAGCAGATATATCCCCGAATGCTTTGTTAGGAAAGTTCTCCTTGTAAAGCACTATGGGATATTTTGTCAGAGCGGCGACTAATAACAAAGATGTCAAAGGCACTGTGCGGGGAGGCAGAGTCAGATTACCAACAGGGAGCGAAAAGTAGTGATCATCTGTCCGATTGGTCAGTTAACTGAGTTCACTATAAAGTCCACTATATAGTCCTCGCTCTGTATAGTTGTTAGAATAATTGTATATAAATGTATCTGTGTAGTGTTATAATGCATAAAGCTGTGTGCTATGTGCATGTGTTCATAGCCATCTTTTCTGAAGTATACTGTGATTTGTGGACTTGCTTTTGGGGAGGTTGTGGTTGATTTACGAGCAGCACTCAACCTGCTGAACTTTGGTGAACAGCTTCAACAGCTTAAACTTTGACTGAACCCTGAGATTTAAAGGACATATTTACTGAGACTGCAAGTCTGAGTTCCTTGTCTTGTTTCCCCCCCGTGTAGTCTCAGCTGGGACCACTGATTCCAATAAATAGCGAGGAGAACTCTGGGACTGCAGAGTGGGTTGGAAATTTGTAAACTCTTCAGTCTCTTCCTACTCTCCTCGCAAGTAAAACTAAATTGTCTCTGTGCCTTCTTTCTTTCCCTGTTTGTATGTATGATGTTTTTTGGGTGCTTAGACCTGACAATAGTGATAAAGGGATTTAGGGGTTAGAGCTCACGTTCGACACAGCCCAAGTGTTATAAAAAGAAAACAAAAAAGCTAATTTTGTAAATTGAAATTTAAAGAAAAAAAAAAGAAATCTAAAACTTAAATGTTTAGCCAAATTGATTTGAGAGTAAAGCCGGGCATACACTGTGTGATTTTTAAAAATGTTTGCATGCAGCTACAGCTCACAATGCATGTTCAGCCTGACGCTATGATACAATCTACCTGCTCACGTCTAAAACCACGTTGGACTCAGCTGTTGATCAGAATCTACTTTAGTTCACTATTGACTAAATATCTGCAGTCTTCAGATGGGAACGCAATAACGCACACAGAAATATTTTTCTCTCAATTTATTTCTTTGCTCACCCTTTTGACTCTCTCTTTAACTAATTGAAAATATAAGTACGCTGACCTTGGTGTTCTATGTGTTGTTTCTTCTTTTGTGTAACCATAAGTGGAAATATAATTACTTGTGAGATAAGGGAGAGGCTGGAGTTTTATTGTCAGTCTGAAGAAATGTTCTATAATAACTACCTTTACATTCAGACTGAATCATTTCTCAAACCACCTTCTCCTTATGTGCTAAATGTGAAACGATTGTGTGTAAGACCATTTTCTACTCTAAGGAACATATAAAGTTGTTTAAAAGGTGAAGGACTAAAAGCCCTTCAAATAAAGACATACACATACATCTAGATGTGGTTAAAAGGAAACAAAATGTCTAAGCTTTAATTTAAGCAGTCTTAATTTAGGCAAATCTTAACTAAACATGAGCTTAAAAAGTCAAATTTAAAAAGTCAAAATTTTCAATGTTTTTAACTGAAAATGTATTTGTTCTAATTTAAACTCTTGGAGTTTTCCTTTCTGTTTTGAACCAGCGTGTTTTAGATTCAGTCACAGTATATACATTGCATTGCTAATTATTTCTATCAACCTAAAATACATAATAAATCAGAATAAACCTTTAATACTAGTATTACTAGCTCAGTCACACGTCTTATATTGTTAACAAACCCAAACCATTAAATAAACTCTGACAAAGTGGGATTTCTGGAGCTGTGTTGAAACAATAGGAAACTTGTTATTTGTAATGTTTTTTCAAAATACGGTGTTCCGCAGGGATTAGTTATTGTCCCCATGCATTTTGATATCTCTGCACTATCATTTAGTGGCACAATCACGTTACATGGGATTACTTTTAGGGCTTCGCTGAGGATGCCCATGTTACGGTATATGTACCTGTGTCACCTTTTAGATGTATGAATGTCAAAAATTTGCTATATCATGGAAGAAAAAAAACAACAATTTAATTAGTAGTGCAAATGTTTAGAGCAAACCTAAGAGTCCACCTCAAACATAACCCTTGTCTCACAGTTTGGTTTCACAAACACTGATTAAAATTGTTACAAAAAAATGTATTTTAGGATTTAATAACCACTGCAGAGTGCAACCATTTCCTTAATTACCTAAGATAGCAATTCTAATAAGAGATAACTTGTGGAACATAGTATTTTATTGCTCTGTTTTATAGTTGTCTTTACAGTAATCCAAGGTTATGACACCTTCCAGCTCCCATCACATTCATCTTATATTCACCACTTTCGTTATCAGCTCTCCTGAAGACGGCTAAAAATTTGGATTCAGTAAAAGAAAACTAAATTATTTAGATTACATTTTAATTGAGATGTAGTGATATTCAGTTATAATAAAGTGTCTCATTTCATTCAAACATTGTGTAGTCCTATTCACAAATCTAGCCTTTATTTAGTTTTGGTCATTTTAAAAAATATTATTTATTATTAGATTAAAATTGTTTACAAATACCTTAATTTTTGCATTTACACTGTTTATGTTTCAGGTTATGATAGTTTCAATATTTACAGATAGTTTCTCTCTTATAATTCTTTATTCTTCAATTTTTCCTAAATAGTTTGCAATATGTTTAACTACTCTAGTGTTGATTTTACACATATGAAAGAAATTCTAAATCTAAAATTTGATTGATTGATTTTACTGATTATTGTATCATTCCAGGCTAAATCGATAACTAGGTGGCATAAAATAGGTATAAAAGAATCTGTAGAAGTTCATTGTTTGGCTGAGATGTAAAATATTAGGTCAACTGAAGAAGACAATATTATCATAAAATTAGCAAATACAAATTAGGGACTGTCAAAGCAGATGTTTTTCATTTTACCTGGAAGAGGTGGCTAGAGAGATGAGCAGAGCCTGCAGAATGCCTCGAATGTACACTATGGGACTCTTCTTTGTGATGAAAAAGTACATGGCAGGAAGAATGAATAGGCCATGCAGCACCAGGCCCATGACCACAGTGATGGCATAAAAGCCCAGTTTCTTCCCCATGGCTGAAGGATCATCCATCTCTAAGATCTTCCCGGCGACGAGGAAGACAATGCCAAAGGGAAAATACCTGCAGGTGAGAGAAGATAGAGTAGAGGAAGGAGGGAAACTTGTTAAGACTTTGCAAAGTTAGAAGATTTCACATAACATGTTGCCAATAACTTGTAAAGATGAAGGAAGAGATAAACACAGGATGGGATCGTACAAAATACCATCTTTAGTAATTAAAAGCTTAAAAATAGTTTTATTGTTTTCCTTCCAGTGGTTTAAATAGGTTTCTTGTACCCATAGTAACTGTGTCGGCAAAAGTTTAGCCTAAAGATAACTATATTGAAGAAGTTAAGTATATTTCTGCTGGCGCCAGTGTCTTTCACGTTTGGACTTTAATTCTACCATTCTTAAGTTATTATAATTAATTAGATGATTTGATATTAGATAATAATGAGATATTTCCTCAGGATTAAGCTGTGAACTGCTGCTTCAAGCAGTTAGAGTGCCAGGGTTCTGCCCTCTTTTTAGTATTTTTAGATTCTTTGTAAATTTGTTTTTTGTAGTTGTTTTCTAGCAGTGTTGTGTTTTTGAGTTACTCTCTGTTGCCCCCTTGTGCCTGTTTCCTTTCCCCTGAGCTCCTTTCTAGTTAGTTCCATTCACACCTGCTCCATATCAGCTCATTGGTCCAGTTTTTGTCCTGTTCCCTATATATACACACCTCCTCTGCAGTTCCTCATGGCTGGTTTCTTGTTTTGTTGTTACTTTGCTTCCTGTGTATTTCTCCCTACCATCTCCTGATTATTTGGTTTTCAGTATTTTGTGTTTTTGTCCCTGTTTTGCCTCTGGATCTTTCACTAAATCAGCAAAACTCATATCTGCCTCCTCATTTCTGCATTTGGGTCCTCAACCAACCTCCACAAAACCTTCATAGACATTGTCACTAACTGATGGGCTGTTAAAGAGTCAAAGACTAATCCTAGTCAGGATCTTTAGGAAGCTAAGGTGTAGATTCACTGGAAAAATTGAAATCTAGACAAGATTTTTACCTCATCTAAGTGCATTTGCTTTGGAATTAAGGAGGTAAAAGAGACATTTTGCCAATGGTACAAGACAATTTACACTTAAAATAAGAAAACACAATTGCATTGTCTTATTGTAAGTGCATATTATGTAATTATCTTATTTTAAGAGTAAAAATATTCATTCCATTGGAAAACTGTCTCATTCACCTACTCAAATTAAAGGAAAATACACTTAAAGAAATTTTTACTTATTTCTAGATCGTTTTTTCCCCCAGTGTTTATGCTGTGGCTTTAACCTCTTCAAACATAAATACAAGATCAATAAAAAAAAAATAAGAATTTAGGTCAAAGGAATTAAGAGTATGACCCTAAACATTCGTAAAGTCTTGAAATAAGATTTAATTAACTAAACATGTCTGCAATTATAAAGTTATTTTTTTTCATTTATTGCCAGTCAAGAAAGGAAAAGCAGAAGATAAAGAAAACTGAGCATACAGGTGCTGGTCATAAAATTAGAATATCATGAAAAAGTAGATTGATTTCAGTAATTCCATTTAAAAAGTGAAACTTGTATATTATATTCATACATTACATACAAACTCATATATTTCAGATGTTTATTTGGTTTAATTTTGATGATTACAAATGACAACAAAAGAAAATCTCAAATTCATCATATCAGAAAATTAGAATATTACTGAAGACCAATAAAAACAAAGGATTTATAGAAATGTTGGCCAACTGAAAAGTATGAACATGAAAAGTATGAGCATGTACAGCACTCAGTATTTAGTTGGGCCTCCTTTGGCCTGTATTACTGCAGCAATGCGGCGTGGCATGGAGTCGATCAGTCTGTGGCACTGCTCAGGTGTTATGATAGCCCAGGTTGCTCTAATAGTGGCTTTTAGCTCTTCTGAATTGTTGGGTCTGGTGTATTGCATCTTCTTCTTCACAATACCCCATAGATTTTCTATGGGGTTAAGGTCAGGAGAGTTTGCTGGCCAATTAAGAACAGGGATACCATGGTCCTTCAACCAGGTACTGGTAGCTTTGGCACTGTGTGCAGGTGCCAAGTCCTGTTGGAAAATGAAATCTGCATCTCCAAAAAGTTGGTCAGCTGCAGGAAGCATGAAGTGCTCTAAAACTTCCTGGTATGTGGCTGCGTTGACCCTGGACCTCAGAAAACACAATGGACCAACACCAGCAGATGACATGGCACCCCAAACCATCACTGACTGTGGAAACTTTACACTGGACTTCAAGCAACGTGGATGAAGTGCCTCTCTTCTTTTCCTCCAGACTCTGGGACCTTGATTTCCAAAGGAAATGCAAAATTTACTTTCATCAGAGAACATGACTTTGGACCACTCACCAGCAGTCCAGTCCTGTTTCTCTTTAGCCCAGGCAAGACGCTTCTGACGCTGTCTGTGGTTCAAGAGTGGCTTGACACAAGGAATGCGACAGCAGAAACCCATGTCTTTCATACGTCTGTGTGTGGTGGTTCTTGAAGCACTCACTCCAGCTGCAGTCCACTCTTTGTGAATCTCCCCCACATTTTTGAATGGGTTTTGTTTCACAATCCTCTCCAGGGTGCGGTTATCTCTCTTGCTTGTACACTTTTTTCGACCACATCTTTTCCTTCCCTTCGCCTCTCTATTAATGTGCTTGGACACTGAGCTCTGTGAACAGCCAGCCTCTTTAGCGATGACCTTTTGTGTCTTGCCCTCCTTGTGCAAGGTGTCGATGGTCGTCTTTTGGACAACTGTCAAGTCAGCAGTCTTCCCCATGATTGTGTAGCCTATAGAACTAGACTGAAAGACCATTTAAAGGCTTTTGCAGGTGGTTTGAGTTAATTAGCTGATTAGAGTGTGGCACCAGGGGCCATCAATTTTGAACCTTTTCACAATATTCTAATTTTCTGATATGATGAATTTGAGATTTTCATTTGTTGTCATTTGTAATCATCAAAATTAAACAAAATAAATATCTGAAATATATGAGTTTGTATGTAATGTATGAATATAATATACAAGTTTCACTTTTTAAATGGAATTACTGAAATCAATCTACTTTTTCATGATATTCTAATTTTATGACCAGCACCTGTAAATAACTGTAGAATCTAGATCCACAGTTTGCAGCAATTGGGATTGCTCTTTATAAGCTTAAAACATCTTGCTTTTGGGATTTCTGCCCATAAAACAGCCCCAGTTCCTTTATGTATCTTTTGAACAGCAATGAATTGAATTGATGTCTGGACTTTGAATAGGCTGCTCTAGCACATTTAAATGTTTTACAGCCTCAAATCACCGGTACAACGACACCACTTTGTTTGCAAGAATCCCTGTTGAAAAATATCTCTAAAGCCCACCACCGTGTTTACGGACTCCTGGCCTGATCGTGGATACTTGCTTCCCTGGACAAAGTGGACCTCTACTCTCCAGCCTGGTCCCACAGAAAATGATATTACTTAATATGGACCAGAAAGCCCTTTACCACAGCTGCACTAAATAAATTAACCAACGACATCTTTAAAACCGACAGTCTGCATCTGGACAGAAAAACTTGAGAAAAAGCATCCCAGTGGAGACTTTATACAAGCCTCCAATTAATAAACAAAATGTTGATCTCCAGTGAAGGATTTTATATGGTGCCATCACCACAAACTAATTTTTATCCATTGTTATTCGGGGTGTTTTAAATGAGTATCCTTTCTGCGCTCTGTCTGAAAATGTATTTCACGTTTTTAATGGCATGCACAAGACTAAAGACAATTTTTAGCCTTTTAATGAGTGTCAGTATTAGTGTTTGTCATGGTTTTGGTTCTGTTCAAGTTTTATGTCCGAGTTTTCATAGGTCTTGTTTCCATTTTTGTGTTCTAGTTATTTTGATTATATGTGAGTTCTTAGATACTGGTATTTCCTGTTTGACCTCTTGTGTCAGTCTCCTTTACCCTAGCACCCTTTTTGCCTCTGTTCACACCTGCCCCAAATCTGCTAATTAGCCTTTTCTTTGTTTCTCTCTCCCTTATATTCTCCTCATGTTCAGTCACTCTTTGTTATTTGTAGTCATTTCTTTGCCCCCTTGTGAGAATTCCTGGTTTTTAGGATTTTTGCTTCTGTTACCCTTCTTGTTATTAACACCCCCCCCACACACACACACACACACACACACACACACACTCTGAGACTGTTAGTGTATGTATCATTCAAAGAAAAATATAACAGAAACAAGCCACAGGTCCGACTGTAAAATTTTTTAATCAGTGAAGCAAAAATGGCCATTAACTTGTTCCGCAGAGAGACACTGCAGGAGGGAGCTCACCGTGATTCTGTGGCTCTGTGGAAGTGTAACCTTAAAGCCAGAATAAGGCTGGAGTTTCACTTCCACAGAGCCACACAGAACATGGAGCATTTTATGCATTTGTAGAATTTGGACAAAATGTTATGTACAGGCCAGATGATGGAGATTTACAATATAACAAGCTCCTCATTTAAGTTATTTTTGGCTGACACATGTTTTTACATATGCTTTATGTAAATAATTGATTATATTGTTTTGATTTAGTAAATAAAGTGTTGTTAAAAGTCAAAGTTTTTTACTGTAGAGATGGTGTTTTGGTGGGTTTACGGCAGGCGTTGCGTTTTCTTTGGTGAATGGAAAGTGACTAAGCTGATCAGAGGACCGTCCTTGCGGAGTTGCCATCAGGACTTTTGTTTAAATTCTGACCTTCTTATTTATAACACATCTTTTTTTCTTGTTCATTTCTCCTTGAACCCCAGCTCTAAATGGCTTTATTATGATCCTATAGACAAATCCTCCTGTCTCTGCTGTGGAGCTCTGTAACTTCCTCAGGATAACCTTTGGATTCTGTGCTGCCTCTCTTTTATTAATGCCCTTCTTGTCTAAGTGTTTTGCTGGGTGTCCCTCTCTATGGTGGTTTATCCTAACATCACGTGCTCTCCATCTAAACACGATGGAATAAACTTTGCTCCTGATTTTTGTAAGCAATGATATAATGAGCAGTGATGGTTCCCTAAATATATGTTTTTCATTTCTCCATTTCATTAAAAGATACTTTAATGTTCACATACACAAAGCAAAGCATCTCGAATGAAAAGGAGCAGAGAGAAGAAAAATCTTTTGATATCAGCCCCTTAATTAATTTCCCAACAACACTGCATTAGTTCCGTTATAATATAATATTTACATCCATCTTTTCTCATGTATCCACATTTATAGTATTTAAAATATCATAGAAGTATTTCTATATTTGAAACGTAATACAATCATTATATCCATAAACCCTAAGTTTGATACATTGTATTCCAAAAAATTTAAAACAATCCACTGGACTCTTCACCAGCATTTGATACATTTTAAATGTGTTTTAAACACCATCATCGATTCACAAATTAAATCCTTTTACTTTAATGGTCCAATCCATTATTTTGGTTTTGAACCTGTTTATTTATTTTTATATCTGTTCCTTTGAGGCGAAAGTCACTTTCTCCATTCTCAAACCTTTCTTGGATTTTCACTAGCAATATTTTCTTATTTGCTTTATGCAAACCCGAGAGTTTCATAACCTACTAAATAATGCAATTTTAATACCTTACACTGATATATATAAATAGGTATATATCTGCTTTATAGATATATATTTCATAGATAAGAAATACTTAATCAGATTTTGATGTAGTAAATTAAGAATTCCAGAAATTATTGGTGTTGGACTGATAGAGATGTATTGTTACAGTTATTCCCAGATGTCTTGTGATTCTCTTACCAAATGACGATGGCAACAATCTTCAAAACTGCTTCATTCAAACTCTGACAAAAGTTGACCAAGGCGGATCCATTGGGTCCCATTCTCCCCAGCATTATTCCTGTAATGAGGGTTATAAAAAAAAAAAGGGAAAATAAACCTGCTGTTTGTGAAGCCAGGTAAATATTATCATTACCTGCAAATACCTACAGGGAAGCTTTCAAGCTGTGATAATTGTGTTTCTGGGGTGTTTTGTGCTCAAATGCTTGCAGGATGCATACAAAACGCTCACCCATAGTTGCAGAAAATATAACGATCCCCAACACGTTCATGCCTTCACTGGTACCGGGCGACGTTTTCACGATGACGTCAGGAGGCGGCGTGAGGTCCAGGGAGAAGTTCTGAATGTCTGTGCCATTGTCGTCCTGGACGCCATAGATGTAGACCCGCCGTGTGGTGGTCTCATCCAGGAGCTGGGCCACTGTTGGTTTGGGGATCAGCTCTGCCACTCTCTGCGTTCGATACTTGAACCCAGAAATAGAGCAGAGGTCACTGCATCAGGACAATAATCAACGCAAACTTATGAAGCAGCTGGCGATCTTTAAGGTTTCTAATTTCTAACAATCTACATTATAATCTGGAATAACAATCAAGTTACATGTTACATTACATGCTGTGTTTTCAAAGAACAAATGGAGCTCAACAAACAACCAAAAAAGTAGATTATTTGCAATAAAATAATGCAGAAAATCCTATTCAAGATCCACTAATCAGAGGAAAATCACCCACTCTTTAGGAGGAAGAGGTGCAGGATATGACGGATATCAGACTGCATCTAAACTACTGCGGTGTTTCATTTTGCTCTGACTTTGAAAGCTGGATTTAGGAATAGTATTTGTTTTATTAAAAAAATTTTTCAGTTAAAATAGAATAAAAATAACAGCTGGATTTGTTGTTGTACAAAATGATTAGGCTAACACCTCTAGGAAATGGAGGTGTTAGCATATATCGTGAAATACATAAATGCCCCATAAAATAAGTGACAAAGCATTATTCAGTTATTAAATATACCATAAAATCATGAAAAACAGAAATAAATGACTGAATGTTGCGTTATATGTATATTTTAATTGTATTTGACTAAATTTTTAAGGAAAATAACTGCACTTAAAAAGGAATATAATTACTTATATGTATTTTTAGGCTGGTCGCCAATCTATGATAGGAGTATTATGGGATGACAGGCTGCGATTTGTGGGAACCCCTTTTTCTAGTCAACAAAGAGCTTGTTAATATGCAAACAAATGCAACTGACCATGGTATAAACAGCCACTGGTTTGTTAGCTGCAATCATTTTAATATAAAAAGAAAACAATCTCTCCTTATTCTTGTTACCACTTTACCCTAAATTGTAAGGTAAGAGGGCTACAGGGGTTTGCTTGGTTTCATATGACCAATTTCTGACAATTATATGTTTTCTGCACATAAGCATCTCTGTTAGGTTAATACAGGTTTTGTAACGTCTCATACTCTGCCTCAAGTTTTGGGAAAACACCCTACGTAAATATCCAAAAATGTTTGATATGTCCTATAAGCTTTTTTTATTGGTTCTTCAAAAGTGTAGCTCACCTGTTGAAATGTTGCTTGAACCAGGTTGGCAGGAAACATGTTGCTGGAGGGAAGAAATGTGGGAAAAAGAGATAAGTGTCAGACTTGATGCTGCTTGGATTCAATAATGTGGTTTAATGATGTTACTGCGTAGCGGAGGCTCCAGTTGGAGGACAAGCAGTGGGAATAACTATGGTGACAAATACAGAAAGGGTAAAAAGGTTCTGGGTTTAACTGCACTTTTGTTACAAAATGGTCATTATCACTGTTATTGCTGAAAAAAAAAAAGAATAATTATGATAGTTTTATTTCTCAGTAAGGGGTCCCCTTTCTGTCATTTATAGTAAGTTTGAGCATCTAGAACCAGTTTGTAATCTAAGCCCCAATTCAAAGTAAAAGAAGACCCCTTAACACAAGTCATTGCTTACATTTAATCCTGCTTACATTCATAGGATAAAATATTATTAAAGAAACTTAAAACAAAAAACAAAAACACAACACATCCATATTACATCTATAAAAGAGTTATTCGATTCAACTGAAAAATACGTTATTAATCTCAAAGGGAGAGTAGTTATTTCAGAGTTGCATAGCGTTAGATCTGTGGCTAACCAAGAAAAGGCCCAAAATCTGTAATTCATCCGTTTCTCTGTAAACAGCAGCAGAAAGAGAGAGTAACCTGGTATTAAGAGGTCCCAGTGTCAGAGTCTTGGTTTGTTTGTTCCTGTTTTTCTTGGTTTTCCATTTGTTGTCCTCTGCTGCCCTCTTGTATCCTCCCTTGCTCTGTTTTTCTGTTCTGCCTGCACCTGTTTTCAATCCCCTCGTTAGCTCTCTCTTTGTCTCTGTCCCCTTTAAAAGCCCTCCCTCTTCAGTTCCTGTTTGCTGAATCCTGTCTAACTTCTGTTTGTGTTCCTCGTCTCTCCCTGGCTTCTAGTTTTGGTTTACCCCTGATGTCTCCTTGGTTCAGGTGCGTTAGTAGTTATCTGTTGGACTTTGATTCCTGCCCTTGGATCTGTGAACTTAAATAAACCGGCTTTAATTCACCTTTGCCAACTGGTCTCTGCATTTGGGTCCTCCAAACAAACACCGCTTCATGACACCCAGAAGGCATGGATTTGCTATGCTGGGCAACTATAGACATTTTCTCTGTATTTATAGTTCCTCTATTGCCTCTTTACTCTTTATGACAGTGATGTAATCTCTTTGGTCTTTGTTTCCAAAGTTTACAGTCACTTTACAGCTGCTTTAACCATAGGGGGTAAAACTCTGTCCGTCTGTAGAGAGGTTAGCTCTCTGTTCTTAGCACACAGGAAGTGGGTTTACATGCAAATGAACCTTGAATCTAAAATTGCCATTTTACTTCCTGTGCCCCATTTAGTAGGCTGTAGAGTTACAGAATAACTTTATTTTTATTATGTAGGATACAAGCTTAAAATAAAATGCTGCTCCAAATTAAATAAATAGCTTCTAATGGTAATAAGGAATTGAATAAAGTTTTGCCAACTTAATTTATTTTAGTTTTAAACTTTATAAGCCTTGTTTTCCATTTTTCAATTAAAAATTTCTGCCCTAGTCAGCCAAAAACTAGTCGTGGTCTACAAGAATTTTTGTTAACAAACATGCCTGTATGTCACAAAATTAAACCGCCAGATCTTTAAAATTTAGCCACAAGTATTAGTTTTTATAACACTTACACAACTTTTAATTGTCTGTTAATTTTATAATAACCCTGTTCCTCTTCTCTATCTGGGAAGCCAGGGTCCGCAGAGCTGCATTCAGCCATGTCGAGCAAAGAGCTCATTAAGTCTTTGATAAACTGAAAAATTAAGAAGCTTGTTTTGTTTAAGTATACACAAAAAAAATTACTGATTCATTTTCGGTCTATTTTTACGGAGGAGGATTAGGGCCACTGGAAAAAAAAAAAAAGTTAACTGATTTTTAAATTTAATTTCAGTTTAACATGGGACTTTCCTGTCAGAATTCTGACTTTTTTCTCAGAATTCTGACTTTAATCTCAGAATTCTGACTTTTTTCTCAGAATTCTGACTTTAATCTCAGAATTCTGACTTTTTTATTGTCAGAATTCAGTCAGAATACTGAACTGAAATAAAATTTAAAAATCTGTTAACTTTTTTTTTTTTCCCACTGGCCCTAATCCTCTTCCGTATATTTTCCTTTTTACACCAAAAAAAAAAAAGGAAAAAAAAGGAAAAAGCTGTCATATGTGGAAGCACTGCATATACTGTATATATCCCATGCACCGTTTTCTACCTTTGGCATCTGCTCCTTCTTTTTTGTCTATTTGAGCTGTTGTAAAAAGTAAAATTTCTCCACTGTGAGATTATCTACTTGATCAATCAACCAATCAATTTTTTTTTAGATCTGTAAATATATTTATATTTTTTATTTTTAGTATGGAAAGTTGAATTGTCTTTCTTTGTGTTGTATTCTACTTCTTTAGATGATGAATGTGTACAATATGTTGTTTGTATACCTGGACTGTGTAACAAAGGTACTTTCCCCCTGGGAAAATAAAAGTTTTTCTAATTCTGAATTAATCAATCAATAAATTTCAATCAAAACAGCAGCATCCCCCCCTGCTTGGAATGCAGGGCACAGATCGACTTGCAAGTTGTTCAACATATTAATATATTCCTTTGCCCCAGCACTCAACAAGTTTGAAAAATACTCCCTTTGGCATCAAACATTGATCTGATCCATAAATTGCAGCCTTAGTCGGTAAAACACCTCATCTTTACTTAGTACGGTAACTTCTCTCAGTGGCCATTTTTATGTGTTCCTCTTTGCGTCTAAGAGCGGTTGGGGTGTTGATATCAGTCACTGATACTGTTAATCTTATATATAAAAAATAAGTTTTAAACTTTAAAACTAATCATCCTTCTTTTCATTTCATAAGATGAAATAAAAACAGCTTGTATCTTTCACTCCTCGCTCTAAAAAGGAAAATACACCAAAGATGAATCAATCATCTTTTTTGTGCAAACTAAAAAATATATTTTTTTCAGGTCTTTTATGTGCCACACTGCCACATTTTACTTCAAAGTGCAACAAGCTCCTTCATTTCTCAGTTTATCAAAGACTTAATGAGCTCTTTGCTGGACATGGCTAAAAGCATTTCTGCGGACCCTGGCTTCCCAGATGGAGAAGAGGAATTATAAAATCAACAGACAATTAAAGGTTGTGTAAGTGTTAGTAAACTTAATGCTTGTGGCTATATTTTAAAGATCTGGCAATTAAATGTTTTCCAAATAAAATGCTTTTTTATTCATGCATCTTAATCTGCAGAGGTATTATTTTTCTTTATTTTATAAGAAAACTAAACCATTCTTCAGTGCATTGTGAATTAGGAAGTCTTATATTAATAATTCAAATCCCTTACTGTAGGAGGGTTCTCTGTATGAATGCTCTGATTGAGAAAATATAATTAAAACTCAATAAATATGCAGGATACTTGATCAGCTGAGATCTAAAAGCCTGGGGCACGCAAACTGGTGAGGATTTATTTCTGCCTACTCTGGAAAACAAGAGCAGTGCTTAATAAAAAAGCTGACCCCCGACTAATAAGCTTCAATCTGAATTTCACTTCTGGGTCCACTTATAATGAAAAGGCTAAACTCATTTACTTAATTACAAACTGAGTAATATAAAGACTAATAAACTGTTTGATTTAATTACATTTTGAAAATGCAGAAAATTATAACATAAGACCAATTCAAGAACAATATTTTACCATATTTTTAAGATTGATTTTATTTTATTGCAAAACAATGAATTAACTTAGATTATGCTTATATATATTTGTATAATGAAACGTAGTTATTTGCAAATGCATAATCATCAGATTTATGTATTCAGTATGAATAAAGTATATTTTCTCACTTAATACTAATAAGTGTATTTATTTCAAACGCGTAAAGTTTATTGTTTGGAATCTATAAAGGTAACATCGTTAAGTAGGAATTTTAAACAATAAACTTTATGCATTTGAAATAAATACACCTTCGTTTTGGGTCAGTATGCTTTATTCATTCTAAAAAGGAAATTTTTAATTTTGTATTCTAAATAAATAAGCTATGTTAAAGGAGTAAATATACATCATGCAAGGTTTATTTTTTATAGGTTTATGTTAAAATGATCTATTTTTTTTAGTAAGATAATTACATAAATCTTAAAATTTATGTGAAAAGCTGAAAGGACGGTGCACAGGTAGCAAGGATAGGAATATTATTTGGTGTTTTTTTTTCTTGTTTATTAACCTTTGAAATGTGCAACTGTATGTAGTTATTCTATTTAACAAAGGTCACTTTATGAACCAAATTAGGAATACAACGTTTGGTTTTGATCATTTATTTTGGTAAAACTTTTTGTGTGTATTCAAGTAAATTACCCCTTTATTCAACCTGTATTTTCAGAGTTAAATTTAATCTTAAAATCCTATAGGCCAGTGGGTACAAGCAGAGTTTCCTTACACGCTTCATTAAATGGTAATTTATATGACTGCTCGTATAACTGAAGCAACTTTCAAATAAACTAAATCTAATATAATTATTAGGATGGACTGCAAATCCCATAGCAATGAAGAGTTTGAAATGAGTAATATGGTATAACTCAAAGTGCTTAGAAATATATAGTATTCAAGGGAAAGCTTAGGAAACAGAGCGGATGGAGAACAATTAGAGTTATCATTAAGTCCTCTGAACTGATTTAATCTCTAACAAACTAGTAGCTTCTACTGTGTTTAAGAGACTGTGAAGCTGGGCAATGAGCCACTCTGAGATCAGGGCTTGGAATGAAAACGGCACATTTTTCTTTCATGCTCATTTATGTAACGTCACAGCTCACATCCGTACATAAAAACACACGACTGCTAAGGGTCAGGCACTTTTGTGAGGGTAGAGATATAGCAGGCCAGGCCTGGACGTTAGATGAAGGCAGTAAAGAAGCTTTGCGTATTAAATCCAAAGCACAGCTGTGCTCTGTAAACACACACAAACACCCACACCCACACACATAGAGCGGGTTTCTTGTTATATACCAAGCTCACCACTGCACATGATCAGTACAGAGCTGGAATTATGAGCTTGGCCAGTTTATAACCTTTGTTTTTCATTTTTTTAAATTCCTTTGAAGTCTAAATATAATATATAGTTTTTTTTATTTTTGTTTTTTCGATTTCTGTTGTAAAAATCTTGAAGCCTGAACTCTTAAGTAACCATTGATTTCTTTAAATTTGAAAAAACTTCAATCCATGTGTGAAAGCATTTTAAACAGTTATTATTTTTTTTAAATTAATTCCTTTTTATTCAAATCTCTGGATTACAAATGTAGTATTTTGGTATCTGAGGCTCTTGGTATTATCCGCTGTCTGACTGAAAAGGTTCACGTGTTTCTCAGCAGGTCTGACCCAGATTTACCTTCAACACAACAGCCAGACTTCTAATTAGCTTAGCACAGTAACCCAGTAGCACATAAAGTTACACTTCAGCTTTGACAGAGCAGGGAAGTTCCCCCTGGGGGACAAATATATATTCATATAAATATAACGTATAAGAATTTGCTGATTTCATCTGTAAAATGGAAAGTGAGAATGTTTGTTTTCTCGTTTGTCGCCAGCCTAACACCTATTGCATTCTGCCTGCTAAAGCAAAGCATTGGATCCATCATTTGCAGCAGTTTTAGGTTAATGTTACAAATTTCTCAAGGTCAGTCGGACTGAAAGTCTGTGTTAGCATCAATTTCCAGATCTTGGCACAGATTCTCAGTCGGAATTAGGACTGCAGCTGGCTAGCACGAGTGATAAGTCATCTGTCTTGTAAACAGGAAGCCTGGGTTTGTATCCCAGCTGGGGGGAATGATCTGCCAGTGTGGGTCCTTGGGCAGGACCTTTCACGTTAATGCTTGCTTTGGGGGAGTGAGGACCTAGTGGTTAGGGCATTGCGCTTTGAATCCAGAGGTTTTAAGTTCTCCACAGACTGCCACCCTGTACTCCTAATGCCCATTAAACTCCCTTTGATTGGACCATTTTAACTAATGAGGTTGCTGTGATCTTAGCACTTTGACTGTTTTGTTGCTCTTTTTACTCATTTAAATTTAACCTGGAGAGATAGATAAAGACAAATTGAATCCTTGGACTAGATCTGTCTTTATCTCCAGGAATGTTCTTGTTCTAAAAAGGTCAACCTCTACAACTAACTTAAATATTTTCCTGCCTTTATCAGAGAGGGCAAGGGACCACAAAACAGGTTTTAATGGAATAATGAAGCACTAAATCAACAAGGAGGCTTTATGTAACATCCCCTCTGCATACTGCATCCTATAAATTGCAGGTTCCCACCATAAGAAGGATGTAAGACATACAGTTGGTGCTTATGTGAAATTATTATTGCCATTTGTGTAAATCTCTTGCAACAGGTGTAAAACTTTTGTGTGATTTAGGAGTCAAGAAGCACTTCCACTGGGTTGACTTGACCTAATGGCTCCTACATAGTTCCTTGACGTTAATTCCTTATTTATTTTCATTAACTATAAGCATTAAAAATGGGAAATAGTTTAGTCAGTATCAATGCTTTTGACCTGATAGTGAGGTTTTATTTGACCAAATGAACCGTTTAACTCTTGATAGCCTCCTTACCGTATGAGGTCCAGCAGAGCATCGGCTGAACTGGTCATCGGCTTTTTGCTCTCTTCAGAGTCCTCCTTCTGGGCGGCACCACCTGGATGTATGATGTAAACCATGAGGATTCCTACAACTACGGCAACAAAGGTGGTCCACAAGTAGTAGGAAATAGTCATGATGCCCAGGCGGCTTGAGCACTTGGCGTCCAGGGCAGCCAGACCAGACATCAAACTGTCAGAGGAGTCAGAAAGAGAAAAAGAAGAGAGAAAAGAAGAGAAAGTTATTACAGGTGTCCAGACAATGGGAAAAGTCATCCCTACGAGCTACTTTTCCCTTGAACTTTAAAAAAGTAGCTTTGAAATGAAATGAGTATTCCTGCAAAGAAAAATGAGTAAAAGCAAAAATAGTTTGATTAAGTTAGAAATGTTCAACAAAGTAATTGTTTCCTGTGTGGAAACTGTTCACAAAGGGTTATTTAAACATTTATTTTCCATAATAATTAAAACTGCATAATTCATGTGCTTTTAAAAAGAAAGCCTTTAATCAAAAACTTTTAAGGTCTCAATGTGCAGTTTAGAAATATTCTACTCAGAGTGCTCTTCCACTTATGACAAAGCTGAATGAACCTGTGAGAATGTAAAGCAAGGAGAGCTGATTTGTAGAACGCATTTTTGGTCCAAGACCATTCAAATCATGACAAATGATAAAAAAGACATACATTCAATCGGCATGATAAAGAAAAGTAGAGAAAAGTTTTATTGGAGAATTATGACATTTCAGTTAGAAGAAAAAAAAAATCAAAGGCAACTCTATACAAATGGGTTTTAACCTTGATTCAAAGGATCTATGGGTTTCAGTACTTTTGCAGTGTTCTTGCAGCTGGTTTGAGATAAGTGGGGCATTAGAAACTGAAAGCCACCTTTCTTTGTTTGGTTTTAGGTGGCAGAGTTGACTGCTTACCTGTAGAAAAATAAAACCTTTTTTATACATTTAAATCTGGCTTTTGTAAAATGATGAAAGTGTCTAGTGAAATGTGGATAGCTGCTTAGTGTGGTCAGAACTCAACTTTATTTCTAATTGGATTTATCTGCAGCATTTTACACCCTGGATCATAACCTATAACTGCAGAGGTTTAAGGTAATTCTGGGACAGTTCTAAAGTGGTCGCCCTCATACTAAACAAAGAGAATATAAATTCTGTTTATCTATCACTTTAGGTCTGGAGCCACTGCTTTACTGTATGCTATTCCTCAAGGATCTTTCCTCTGTCGTATTTTGCTTTTGTTGTATAATCAGCACCTCTTTGTAAAATCCTCTGCCATTTTAAAAATGAGTCCTGTCATCTTTATGCCGAGGATATTCAGCAATAGTTGTTATTGTGATCTTGTGTTGTTTTGTCTTCCTGCCTCAGGACGACGGATGTAAATTAGCAACTATGCTATAATCTGGCTCATTTACAATCTGTACAGAAGTATAAGATTGTTCATTAATGTGCTCTGTCCTGATTAAATAAGTAAAAAATAAATTTAAATAGTCAGTTTTGCACAAATGGGCAGATTTATTGGATTGTCTTTCAAATATGAGGACTTTGCTCACTGAAAACTGCCTTCAATTCAGTTCTAAAATACAAAGATTGTTGCACTAGAGCAGAAAATGCCCTTATTTGTGAGTCACATTGTTTTCCTAGACTCCGCTGTTCAGCTGAACATTAGAAATCTCGCTGTATGGTTTGACCAGTCATTGTGTCTTAGAAGCCTTTCTAAACTTTGGGATTTCAATTTTTTATCACTTGAGAAATATATGCCAATTTGAGGCCTATTGTGTCCTGTTCTCATCTTCCTGATTCATGCTTTTATATCCTCTCATTTGGAGTATTGTGAAGCTTTTAAAAGCAAAAAATTATAAAGGATTTATTAAGGCTAAGAAGAACCCCAAGCAAGACTTTTAACAGGAAAATATTTTAATATTGACTTTAAGAGGCTGCAGGGTGGTACAGTTTGTAGCCCTTTTGCCTTGCAGTAAGGAGGCAAGGAGCTTGCAAATTCTCCCCATGCATTTTTGGTTTTCTCTGAGTAATTTAGCTTCCTGCCACTTCCTGCCACTGTTAGACAAATTGGCTTCTTTTTTTGTAGGTGCATAGTTGTATGTGATGGACTGGTGTACCCAGCCTTTCACCCATAGATTGCTGGAGATACTGGCCCCCTGTGACCCTGATAAGCAGCAGAAGATGGATGGATGTTTCTGATCTGTTTTGCCCCTACACTTCTGGTTATTCACTGCAGTTATCTGGGCAGAGTCTTCTAATGGTTCCACAGACCCGCTTTAAAACCAGAGGGGACTTGTCTTTTTACTATGTTATACCATAATTGTGGAATATTCAAATTCTGTCTCCTTGCATGGCCAATTCTTTTATTTCTTTTGAAAAGCAGAGGAATACTTTGCAATTTAATCAAGCTTTTTGTTTGCAGGGCATTTCTTGCTTCTCATTATTTTTTTTTACTATTTTAATAGATTTTTTAGATATTAGGGTTTTATTTAAGAAAAGTTATATATAAGTTAAAGTTTTTTTCTCCTTGAGCCAGTATACCAGAGAGGTCTGGGTGGTAGAAGCACTGACAAAAAGTCTGAAATACTTCAGTGCTAAGATATTCAGAGGTTTATAGACTAAAAAAAGTTCTTTAAAGTCAGTCCTCTGAGATCCAGGAATCAAATGCAAGGACTTTAAAACTGGGGTGATGTGATCACTTTTTTAGTTTTAGTGAGGATGCAGACAGCAGTTTTCTTGAGAGTCTGATGGGCTTTTTAGACAGACCTGTGAAGAAGTTGCAGTCATCAGTGATACTAAACATGAATGCAAGATTTAGTTTTTCAAGGTCCTGCTGAGACGTTAGTGCTTTAATCCTGGACGACAGACATTCAAACCAGGGAAATCTGCTCAAGGACAAAGAAAACATACATTTTCTATTCAGCCTTCCAGACATTTATAAAATAGCTTTTTAGCTTATTGTGAAGAAAGAAAAAAAAGTAACTGACATTTCATTGTAAACAATAAGACAAATTTGCATCAAAATTAGTTTTAAATGCTCTTCCTGCTTGAAGCTTATTTTCTTTGTAGCAAAAGTAAACCCGGAGCATGAAAGAAGCTTTCATGCATAACTGCTTCACAGTAGGTGTGTAACTCCAATTGCTGTAAATGTCAATTGCAAGACTCGAGGAAAGATGTAGTGAAGCTAAGAGAAGGAAGGGAGATGTGGAGCCAGAAGCAAGCACAGCTCACTGAAACTATGCCTTAATAATTATAAGTGCTTAAATTGAAAGTCATTATTCTTATTCCCAACTTGCTGTAAGTGTTTGATTAAAAATATAAGACTGTAAAAGCAAATGGTTTTGTGCTATTTCACAGGAAATTCTTATATGGTACGCAAAAGATCTAAAGTATATTTTTAATGATGGTTAATCTTTGCACTATATTTCTGTTACAAAGTGTTCAAGTAGAACAGCAGATACTTTAAGCGCCTATTTAGCCTCCAGTCAGTTTCAAAGAATGCAAACATGCTATTAAAATTATGTGCAACATTGTTGTTGAAACCTAAGGAGTGAAGATGAGTTAATCAGCCTGATGGTGTGGATGATTGAAAAGGAGCCAAAAAAAACTATTGGAGCTAAACTTTAAAGCCAGGGTTCATTTACTATCTGATTGCAGCATCCTTTGCATTAGCATTTTGAAACATAACTACCCCACAAAGTAAGACCAGAAGGCCTACTCTATTCAATAAAAGATATGAAATCATGCAAATAGATTGATCTGAGAAGACTGGAAAATGTTGATGCGAAGTAGAGACCTGCATGGGTCGAGTGTTACCAACCCGCACCCCCCGAACCTGTTAGGATGACTACCGAACCCGACCCGTTACCTGCGGATATCTTCAATTCAAATCCGATCCTGACCCGACCCGTTGATATTTAACCCGCAACCCGACCCGTTAACACATCAAGTAATAGGCTATAGTACGCTGCGCTGCAGAACAGTGCCATTATCACTGCAGCAGACGTGTATGCACTGACTGTGGCCTTTTTGGAAGGAAGCCCACACTGCCTGCAGGGCTTTAAGCTACAACAAGGGTGACCCCAGTGCCTGATTAATATAACATTTCTGATGTCCATAACAACACACACGCATAAAAACAAAATCACCAACTACCCGCCCGCACTAAAAAAATATCCGCCCGACCCGTTTATTTTTTTTAATGTATTTTTCACCCGCAAAAGAGCATTTTAGCGGGTGAGCCGTCGGGGACCCGCGGGTACCCGACCCGTTGCAGGACTCTAATGTTAAGAGTTCAAACTGGAGAAAGGGAGAGCACGTGCTCAGAAAATTTGTGGTCAAACTGCCTGATGGCAAAATCCCGTGGTGTCAAAGGTACACACATTTGTTACTTAAGTAGAAGTATAGATACTGTAGTTTAAAAACACTCTGGTAAAAGTTGAAGTATCAACTTGACCTCTTTACTCAAGTAAAAGTGAAAAAGTATGTTCTCCAAAATCTACTTAGAGTATAAAAGTATAAAGTAATCCTTTAGAAAAAACAGTCAGATGCCACTATATGAATTGAAAACTCAATTTTTCGACAATTTTGAAAATTTCTCTGAGATAGGGCCAATAACGAGGGAGGTCTTGTTGGTCTCCATCTCCCGATACGCTCTTGCCTGTGACCAAACTTTCAGACATTTCAACATCTTTTTCTGAATCCATTGTAGCATGGCATAGATAATTCACATTTGCAGTTTGAAGAACACCTGCTTGCTTCTGATGATTTCCTTTAACTAACCAATGAGTGTTTGCGTTCTATGACTCATCCAATTACACTAGTTTTCACTAGATGTGGATGGAGTCAATGATCTGCATTGGATGGAGCACAAGACGTGAAATAAATATTTATAAACATTAAACCAAAGCCATGAGTAACGGGTAACGTTTGTTTTAAAAATGTAAGGAATAGAAAGTACAGATACTTGTGTTAAAATGTAATGAGTAGAAGTCAGAAGTAGGAAGAAAAATAAGTAATGGACAAAAGTATAGATACCTAAAAAGTACTGTACTTAAGCACAGTAACAAAGTATTTGTACTTCGTTACTTGAGACCTCTGGCAAAATCACTTTGCATACAGCAGGGTACCACCTTTCTGTCATTGCCATTTGTTATATATGCTTTAGTTCTATAACATGTTCAACC